CCCGTCTGTCTGCCTTCTTGCAGTCAGAGTTTGTCCACGCTGACCGTGATCGAGGATTTTTTGGCTAAGAGACCAGTGCCTCCATCACCCAATGTGCCCAGCAGAGACAGACCCAATCAAAACTGGGTCCGCAACCTCAACTACTATCGTAAGTAATCATGAGGTTTCGGAGGTGCGATACAGCGCTCTATGTAATATGCTAAACCGAGCCGATAATTATGCTGAACTGATGAGTCTGTTCTCTTTGGGGGAACTGACTGCAATGCTTTGGGTGCTGCCACTCTCATTGACTTGCCATGAGTGCTGCCACCTGCTGGTGTTTTCGATTTCTTTAAATAATACCTATATGTTGATTTATCATTTTTCTGCAAGCCAGTGTTTTCATTTACAGCTGTTCTATTTGTGGGGTTCATGTGTCGTAATTGATAAGAATGATCCACAGATATTTATAAAGATCTGTCATCCAAGATCAAATTACAATTAATGTTTTATTTTAACTGGTTAGTTGAGCTCTAATAATATGAATCCTCAGCTGTAACTTGTCTCTATATACATGGTACTTTATCTGTACAGTCCATATAATAGCATATGGGGATTCAAATATTGAAGGGTAAAGTTTCACTGTACTGTGAAACAAGCAAGCAAGCGGTTTAAATTCAGAGAAAAACAGGAAGAGAAGAGCTACAAGAATATAAAACTTAAAGAACATGAGAACCTCTTAGATATGAGTTGCCGTGTGATATTTTGAAGGACTGGATGGAAGCACAACTGCCTCAGAGAGAGAGCGACTGATAAACCAGTTCAATGACCCCTCCAACACCTCCGCATGGGTTTTTCTGCTGTCAACCAGGTAACACGCTCTCCACACTAATTATATCATTATTATAGGTCATAAATCTTAAAAGGAGTAATCAGCTTACTGCTGTCCCGTCTGTTCCTGCCAGGGCTGGTTGTCTAGGTGTGAACCTGATCGGGGCAAACCGCGTGGTGGTTTTTGACGCCTCCTGGAACCCGTGCCACGACGCCCAGGCCGTGTGCCGTGTCTACCGCTATGGGCAGAGGAAGCCGTGCCACATCTACAGGCTGGTGTGCGACTTTACGCTGGAGAAGAAGATCTACGACCGCCAGATCTCCAAACAGGGCATGTCTGGTGAGTCGGAAACACGTGAAAAAGCGCTGCAGAGAGTTCCAACGGAGCTGCAGTCAAATAACCTCTCCTAAAATATGTGCGTGGTAATGTTTTAGTTACTTAAAAATGCATTGCATACAGGAGCATTTGTCACAGACATTTTCCTGTATTTTTAACCAGAAATAACTCAAATTTTAAAAAAAGGAGGAGGAAAGGGAAAAAATAAGGAAAAATTATAAGACGTGGAGATTGTATTCAACCTCCATCATCCTCACTTCATGGAAATTTCACTCCCTTCAAACATCTGTCAGTGTTGAAATTCACTGAAAACCCCAAGTGTAGGTTCCTCTGTGCGAGCAGAACCCCTAAAACTAAATAATAAGCTCTGAGGTAAAGTCAGAGCTCTTCTGCCAAGAGGCTCTCGTCTGACACTGAAGTGTCTCAAGTGTTTGCTGTAAGCTTTGTCTGGTGAGACGAATACATCGAGGCCATTCAAATGTAGCCATTTCTGTCTACATTTTTTTTCCTTAGATGAATCTTTTTCCAAACAATTTTACCTCAATATCTTAGTTCTTCTGCTTTTTTTTCCTTTCTGTCAATCAGACCGCGTTGTGGATGACCTGAACCCCGTGCTGACCTTCACCAGGAGAGAAGTTGAGTCTCTTCTTCATTTTGTGGAGGAGGAACCAGACTCATCTAGCATCCATCTGCAGCCCAACGACAGAATGGAGAGCATCCTCAGGAAGGCCCTGCACCTCAATCCCCACCTGATTACAAAGGTATGAGGAAACATATTGTCCCCATACGCCCTCTAGAGGCGATTACAAATAGAGCATAGACGCTCCTGCACTCCATTGTGTATTTTTTTCCATTGTTCACTACGATTTGATGAAGATAAAAACTCGTTTTCTACAGACAGAAGTCTCCTTAAGTAAGCTTGTTTATGTTTTAGAGTTCTCTGCTAATTGAATAAGCCCCTAGCTGTCATTACAGCAGGATGACATGTCCAAGTGTGTCCATAGTTGGCAACTAAAATCCATTTTTGGAACTATGGGAAGTATGCCAAGGAGTTACAGTGAAGCTTTGTTTTACATTTATAACACTATTTTAAACAGCTTGTGAGGTTCTGGAGATTAAGACGTGATGAGTCATCGCATAATTACACCCTTTTTGTGGCTCGCTTTAAAAAGCAGAGAATCTTCCAGTTGGCGTTCTAATGAATTTTATTAAATTGAATTGGTATAAGCTGGAAAAAATATAAATGTATAGGATGAGGTCATCATAAGTGAGGTAATCGTGCAAACTTGGAGCAGAACACTGATCAGCTTTCAACCTCCTCCTTTCTAGCAACCATTCCCCCACGAGTCCTTGCTGATAGACCGCAGGGAGCTGAAGCTGAGCAACGCAGAGAAGAAAGCAGCAAAGAAGGGCTACGAGGCTGAAAAGAGGGCCTCGGTGCCATACACCCGCCCTTCCTACGCTCACTATTACCCTGCCAGTGATCAGAGCCTTACCAACATCCCTGCCTTTAGCCAGAGAAACTGGTTAGTAATTGACATCTACAATCCCAGTATGCATGCTAACAAGCTACCGTAAATCCAGTTCGTATCACTTGTCTCATAATCTTTTTAAAAGGTTGAGCATTTATCAAGTAAACCCTCCTTCAAAAAAATAAAGACAAGTCATAAATCAAGAGTAAAAAACAGAAAATCTCTGTCTATTCAGGCGTCCTCCCACTAGCACTGAAGAGAAGCCAGTGGCCAGTGTCAGGCCAGTCCAGTCAACTCCAGTCTCTATGATGCCCCGCCAGGCATCTGCAAGCTCTGCCCCAGGCAATGACTCTTCTAAATGCAGCCTCGGAGGCTTCCCTGTCAACTGCCTGCAGAAAGCTGGCGTGTTTGTACAGAAAATTGTCACCACCACTGGTAAGCAGATTCTCCTTGCACTCCATTTCATCTCTATTCTTTCTGTCAGTACTAAAGATTACTATTTCTTTATGGCCTTAAACTCTGATTGTCTTTCTTTATCTCTTTATAGACATAGTGATTCCAGGCACCAACAACTCCACAGATGTCCAGGCCAGGATCACGGCTGGAGAGAGTATCCATGTCATCAGGGGCACTAAAGGTACAATACCGCTTTGTTATACATGTCAGTTCTTTTGTGCAGTGGTCACAAAATGCAGATAATTGTGTGAACGTGTCCTTGTTCCAGCTGTTTTTTGTTTGTTTTTTGTTATTATTGAAGAGATTATTTAAAAAAAACTTTTGGTATTTGTCGAGTTAGTCGGGTAAAAAGATGTAATAATGAAATGCTTTCATTTAATTCTAATAACGGTTTTGTTTACCTGTGGCTTTCATAGGGACTTACATCAGGACATCTGATGGCCGAATCTTTGCCATCAGAGCAGCTAATAAGGCCAAGTCGGTAGAGGAGAGTTCAACAGCACCACCCAAAGGTAGGATGATTCCCTTACAATAACACCTCTGAAAGCATGTAACCCTAGTTACTGTATTTACGTACCATGTCAGAGATGTAGCACACTGATATTAATGACTTTATTGTATTCTTTCAGTAAACTGAGGCTTGAATTCTTGTAAAGCTTAAATCCAATTCTTTTCTCCTCAGATTTGCAAGCACCCCCTCCAGAGGTTCCCACCCATGTCAGTAACGGTTGCCTGTCACCCAAGACTGTGCCCCGCCCTCTTTCCCCCGACAGCCCGGAGATCATTAATGAGTTGCAGCGCTATACGGGCGGCGCAGGAGCTGGTGGGTCAGCAGGCTCTGCTGTTCATCTGCCAGAGAGCAGCGTGAGCAGCCTGCCCTCAACCAAACTGATTCAGACCAATGGCAGCGGTGGGAGCGGGTTATTAAGTGGAAATCTGAGCCGCCATGATGCCTCTGTGACTAATGTCATTCAGCCCAACATGGATGCCACTGCCGCCCAAGATCTGAGAACGGGCTCCAAGCGCAAAGCCTCCACCCCATCCTTGGATGAGCGGGCCAGTAAGCAGCCTTCTGCCAGCAAGCACTCCTCAGCCCCTGTGGCCTCGCAGGGCTTCCCCTTCACTGGGGGCTATGGGCTCCCCCCTATGGGTCTAAACTCTGGCATGCTGGGTGGTTCACTGGGGCATCCGCTTTTCATGGGGGCAGGCTCACATTACTTCCAGCCCCCCCACACTCAGCTGAGTGACGCCAGTTACATGTACCCAGATCGGCATGGGTGGAACATGGGCGGAGCCGGCACTGCTCCCACTTCCTCTCCTTCCTCATCACTGATGACAACCACCGCTCCCACCGTCTCATCTTCCTCCTCAACATCATCATCCTCTCCATCAGTCAAAGCTGCCAGTTCACTTTCAGGAGCCTTGCCACCATTCATGCTGAGCTCCAACATGCCAGGCATGGCTGGGATGCTCCCACCAGGCTTCCCTCTGTCGTATAGTCCATCTCTGGCGAGCCTCTACACCAGCTCAATGCTCCCAGGAGGGGTGTCGGGCCCAGCTGCTACTCCCGGCCCAGCTGGAGCCAGTTTCTTGTCCCAATACCCTCCTACTGCTGCATCCAGCTCCTCCTCATCTTCCCCTTCTTCCTTCTCCCCCTCAGCTCGGTCCGAGGGTCAGCGAGGCCCGGTGCTGGTGAACAGCGGGAATGTCAGCAGCATCAGCAGCTCAGATGAAGATGATGTAATTGAGGTGAGGGGACAGTGACAAAAGAATGATGTCCTTTTGTGAGAATGCTTTCAGAAATTGTAATAGTCACCATAAAAGAATGGCAGCCCATTTGCCAGGATGCAGGTTTCCAAGAGGCCAAGATGAAATTAAATTAAATGAAATGAGGAAAAAATGACAGACATTTAAGGTGTTGAGATCTGAGGCCCTGCTGAAGTGTTTCTCCTGAACATCTCTACTTGCCTTGAAGAAATGGTCTGAATGGGGATTTAACAGTGACTGGACAGAGAGGGATAATCGTGATGCTGAATATCAGAAGAAGAATCCGGATAAAGGCTTAAAAACCCTCCAAAGGGATGGAGAAAATAAAAGTTTGAAGATTTTGAGCTTCCAAAAAAAACTGTTCTTTTTTTTTTTTTTTGTCCAATGCCGGCATTAAGATGCTTATCACTGGACTGAGTACTGCTGAGTATGGGCCTATAGTGACCACAAGCGGCCACTAGTTATACTGTTGACTTTTAGAGATACTAGCTCTGCAGCTTTGCTAAGTGTCAAGACTTTTGCTTTCCGCTAATTAAAAAGAGGAGCTGGAGTTGCTTGTGAAACAGGTTTTGCTATTACATTAGCTGGTAGCACAGTTTATTTCATAACTGAAATGGTATCGTCCATCACTTGTTGCTACTGAACACTTCTTAAAACGGCAAACGCAATGGTTACAAGATCACACAGAAGTTTTAGAGAGCGTTTTTGACAGAACGTAATAATAACTCACTGCCAGGACAGGTGTATTGTAGGATTTTTGTTCTTGAAAGAACACACAACAGATGTGGGATCATATTGAAATACTGAAGAAACAGTTGTGCTTTGAGGATGAGGTTAAAGATATTCACTGAAACTTTAAAAACTAATGAAAGAATGTACGCTTAATCAAATGCCTTTACACCGGGCCTTTTTGAAAAGACTCCTTCTCTTTAGGCATCAGATGTGGGAAGATTTGTTTTTCTTCTTTTTGTGCGTGCTTTTTCTATTTATGTAATCTCTGATTGCCTAAAAAAAACAACAGCCAGGTGAAAATGAGGAAAAAAATAAACTGTGTCCCAGTGAGGTGTCCTCCTTGTAGCGGAGAAACAACCAACAGAAAATGCCTTTTTGCCTCCATCTTTCTGAATGTTAACTGTGAGAGAGGCGAGGTAAAGAGAGACAGACAGTCGCCGTGGCTCTCTGAATCTCACCCACAGTCTTACTGTAGCCTAGTGAAAAACGATGCAAAACACTCACTCAAGCCTATATATGTATTTGTACAACCCCAGAGGAACGCTCGTGTTATTACTGTGTTTGTAACTGCTTGTTGTGTTTTTAAGGGTTGCAAAAGGAATCATTAAAAAAGATAAGAAAAAATTTAGATTCATGTTACTCGGTTTGGTAACATGTTTTGAGAGAGATTTCACCTCTGCTCTGCTGTTTTTCCTTTTTCTTTCTCTGTTTCATCTCGTTTCGTGAACAGAGGTCAATGTGAAACCAAACCTTTTTTTTAGGGAGAGATGATGTAGCTTTGCCAAAAGGAAAAAGAAGGAAACAGCACATCTGAAACCTCCATCAAAGAGGATTGTGTCTTAAGAGACCAAATAATGCAGAGCAGATAAAAAATAAAAACAATCCTTTGCAGAAACACACTCTCTCTACAGCATGCTCACAGCTACAGTTGAGAAGTACATATCCATTTTTACACTGTAAAAAGATACAAATCTGTGTTTGACTGGGTGAAAGCTAGAAAATCTTCATAGTGTGACCAATTTCCCCTTTAAATTTGCTATAAATGGAGTCCGACCTATATATTGTGTATATCAGCCGATATTAATTTTTTGCCAATATTTCAGTTTTGGCATTTATAATAGATGGTGAATGGAAAATTCAAATAAGAGATTTTTGGGTGGGGGTTGCATCCACCAGAGGACAGTCTGCACTCGCAGCTAACACGTGTTTGGAACTACTAGCAGATCAGATGATTGTTGGGTAGAGCAAAAAAGAGCAATCCGCTACTTGTGACAATAAAACAATGTTATTTTTAAACTGCAGGGTTGGATGTTGGTCAAGACTCATAAATAGCTATAAATAAAAAATCTTAGGGAAATCTGTTTGTTTTCTGTGCGTGAAAGGAAAAAAATATCGGCTGATATATGAGATTTTTAAATCCTCAAATCCGATGTATCAGTAAACAATATCGGTACCAATATCGGCATCGGTCCTAAAAATCCCATATCAGTCCGGTTCTAGATGTAAACCATCAATCTGCTGTTCCAGCTGACCCCCCTCGGCCTAAACAGCTGCAGGAAGAGCTTTAAAAACCACTAGCTCTTTTGTTAAAGATAAAACAACGTCAAGTTAAGACTCAGCATTACCTGTCCTTTTCTCCCTCTTCCATGTGTTTGTTCTCCATACTGAAACTGTAAGTTTACTTGTGTTTCATTTTTGCTCTCTACAATGTTTGAATTTACCAAATTAATTTATTTATGACGGTGTATATTTATTCATTTGTATTTTTATTTTTTTACAATGTCTTTTTGGTTTCATTTGTTTCATCACTATCTTGTTTGTAAGATTTTTACAGTCATATTAGTATTGTTACTACAGTTTTTGTTTTTTAAGAACTAATGATAAGCCAGTCTGACCCAACACATGTGAAACTGTGCAGAACTTTGATGTGGACCAACCAATGTGTTATTAAGCACATTAATATCCAGGATAGCATAGAGTTAAAATCATATCTAATAACTGATCAGCCGTTTAATATGAAAAACCAAAAAACTGTCACCAGGGATATTCAACGACTGCACAGTGTTGAAATCATTTCCTATTTATCTGCGCTCAGATAATATAGATGCAAATTTTAGTATTGAATCTGAGCTAAATGAGCCATTTATGTGCACGCTAGCTCAATCACAAGTAATGGGTCAGAAACCGAGGCAGTCCAGCCCACTTATCATCTGGAAAAACAAAGCAAAACAACAACAATAAAAAAAACAATATCAAGTGCTTCTCCCCTTTTCTGTGCTGTATTACCATATCACCAGAATTGTCCAGGCGTGTCATCACCCCTGTGATGGCAAAACAGCAAGTTTTCCTCAGTGTTGAACTGTTTGGTTGTCAGCTCAGCGTTTGCTGCGCAGACTGACTGCTCTTTAGTTTCACAGCTTTCTACTTGAATTTACATATTTATTTATACAAATCAAGGTGGTCGGGCAAGCAGAGCCGACTGTCTGAATTCCATTTTAGCCGAGGTGAAGATTAAATCTGCTGTCTTTGAGGATTGGCTCCAGTCAAAGCTTGTTGTGTGGACAATGTGTATGACTTTGGATTACATCATTTTTTTTGTTTTTTTGAAATTTGTAAATAAAAAGAAACATGTTCTAAATCATACTCTTCCTACTTTGTTTATATCAGCGGTGACCGATGCAGTACTTGCCCTCTTTATTTGTTATTCACACGCAGAGACTCACACATACATACAGGCAACTGAGGGCATCTAAATCTTACAACAGATTTGAAGAAGATACACTTGGAAGAGGTGCTGCAGTATATTTGTCTCGAAGTAACTCAGTTTTGCATGTTAATCTTCAATTTTATGCATGTGTAATCTAAAGTGAGACTTGAAGTTAGGGATAGAAGTATTCTAAGTGAGTTTTTAATTGCGTTAAAATGCCTGAAGCACTTCAAATAATAGGTTTCTCTTAAGTTAGATAGACCCTTAAGTCATTTAGGTCTATTATTCTTTAAAATTGAGATACATATTCACTCTAAATATAAAATAGTCAGGTTTTACTGTTGCCTCAGTCATGAACAGTAAGTTACACTGATTTAACTGTAGATAATAATAATAACCAGGAGGTTCAAATAAATAAGCTCATAGTAGCAAAACAGAAAAAAATGGTGCAGTTTTAAGAAAGTAAAAAAGCTCAAGTGAATTTGATAGTTTTACTCTATTGATTTCTTTCACCTCATACATGCTAGTGACTAGTTTCTGAACTGATTATTCCGTTTTGGTGACACTGACTCGATGTAACACGGAGGGTCAAATCAGGCTTTCATGTTCTACTTCATACTACTTGTGTGTGGGAGAAACTTTCAAAACAAGCAGACATTTACCCCTCAGGTGTAAAAGGCAGTGTAGATGCCCAAGCTCAGTGACCTTGACCTTAAGGACAAGGTCAGAGGTGAAGTTCTGAAAATTCTGTGAACAAGGTTACTCAAGAACGAAGCGACGTAGGAAAAAAAAAATCTAGGCCAGAAACAAGCTTCCACAAATATGATCGCTGAACATTTCCACCGAAGTCGCAAGAGAGATGTAAACTTCAGCTTTGGGCTGGTTTTCTGTGTCATTTACTTTGTTGCTGTCATCAAAAGAAGAAACAGTGGACAATGTAAAGAATACATCAAGCTTTATTCCTAGTGTTCTGTGGTGTCTAAATAAGAAATGGTAGTATATTGTTTCATTTCAGCCATATATACAGGTATACGTGGATAACTGGAATAATTATTGCACTGCAGGAACAAATAGCCCCTCTGACAAAATGCAGTCACCCGCACCGCACCACTGTAGTAGCAAAGTAGCAGTTACTTTCCTAATATTAATTTAGCATAATCTGGCTGTTGGGAGAATATAATGAATATTACTGGTTATGTCACAGTTTTTATTAAACGCCTTTTATTTGTTCTCGAATTAAACTGCCAAAGCCTTAGGTCAGGGGTCTCAAACTTGAGGCCCGGAGGCCACGTGCGGCCCACGTCACCCCTTCTTGAGGTGAAGAAATAAAATGCAATTTGGCCCTTTAAGTGACTTTTTTTGTCATTAGCCAAAAATGATTTTGTCCGTGGGAGCGCGCGCAGCTGCTTAAAACTGTAGAGTCCAGATTACTTACAGCTACTTCCGTGCAACTGATATAAGAAGCGGTAAGCTGAACACAGCTTCAACCGTCTGTTTGTTGAAAAATAGTAACGCGACCGCATTTTCTTGTTAGTAACAGTAACGGTGTTGTAACGGTAGGAATAGTAATTAATTAGATTACTCGTTACTGAAAAAAGTAACACCGTTAGTAACTTGTAATGCCGTTATTCCCATCACTGGTCATAAGAGTAATAAGGCATCCAGCACTACAGACACAAGTGTGCCATGTGCAGTTTATTTCCCCAGATCACTAAAAGCACTACTGTTGCCATAATTTGCCCAAATCAAGGATCATCCCATGTGTTTAATCAAAACTGCTGTAACCGGTGACTGTTCTTAAGTAATGTCACTTACTTGGTTTAACACTACAAGCTCAATAGCTTGAGATAAATAGTGATATGATAATGAGCCCAACACTAAAATGTTTTGTAATCACTGCACATCCTGCTTTATTGTCACTCATGTCTGTCTGTGTGATGCCAAATCCTCCACAAAGACCCTTAGAGAGAGGGGGGAAAAAACATTAGCAGTGGAGCGTCCAGGAGGTCAGGCCTGGATCAACAGATTCCAGAGGTGCTGCTGTAAATCATGTAGTCAACAATCTGCTGCTGTGAACGCTGGTTTCAACACAGTATATTTTCTACATTGTATACACATTTTCCCACTGTAATGTTTAAAATTTTCCAACAATACAGTGTGATAGCATAACCAACAAGCAGCCAGTACAACCATAGTTTCCTTAACACAAAAATCAGTAACACAGAAAAGTGTCAGCTAAAGGGTTAAGTCTGCAGGGCCCACACACACTTATGTGAACCTCCTCTGGTCTCTGTCATCCTCTTGCTCCTGCAAAAACAAGCAAACCAAAAAACCCCAAAACAAAACACATACATCCACAACTTTGTCACTGTTTGGGGTGGATTAGGCATTAGAAGTGACTAATCCTAAAATAGTTACAGTCATCTCAATTTCAAGTCAGTCACACTTAGTACACATCATCAGTCCATCATAGTCCAGTCACATGCATTCATACCAATCATTGCTGATAGTGGAAACCTGCGCACCAGCTTAAATATCCACTGAAAGCAATATGACATCATTACAAAAAAACCCCAAACAATTCTCTATGATTTTGGAATAGATTAAATCGCTGCAATCCTTCTAGTCACAGGACTTACCATCTAAAATGGCCAGTGTCTCAGGTAGGTGAATTTCTCCTGAGCCCACTGTAATTTGTAGAAGCTCGCCTTGTATTCGCTTTCAATGCTTTATGTGAGTAGTGTGGGCCTGTGGGCCTCAGCAGCAGTAAAGCTAGCGGTTGCTAGTGACAGGGTGAGCTTGTGGGACCCTGGAAGTGCATCCTCGTAGTGTGGGGTTTTTTGTTCGGTTGTTGTGTTTTTTATTGTTGCAACTTTTTTTCTTTTTCTAGTGTTATTGGAAAAACGGCGGTGCCGGCTCTTTATGTTAAGGTTCTCTATAATAAAAACTATTTTATTTACTAAACACCTGTCTGTTTTCCTTTTCATTCTGTTTCCGGGCTCATTTGTTACTGGTCCCCTTACTCGCATGCCTAGACCCCTTCGGGGGGGACGTAACAATGAATATTTCACACTTTAAAGCTGCCTGTTTATTTAAGGGAGGTGAACAATACATTATAATTGTGCATAATAATATCACAGATGACATATATACTTAAAGTCGTATATATGCTGTGTCATCTGTTCGAAGCCTCTCATGGTCAGTGCTGTTCTCCATGCCTGTCTTACTGTACATGATGTTATTTGTCATGGTCCTGGGTCATTTGACCCAGTGTTTTGAGTTTTCCTGTATTTTTGCACTTTTGCACTATGATTTATGTATAATGTTCACTTTGTTAGTCTTTAGTTTATTCTATAGAGTCTAGTTATTCTGTTTTGAGTTTCTTGTATTCCCTGTTTAGTTCCCTGATTATTTAGTAGTTTCCCCCTGTGTAGCTGCCCTCTGTGTCTCCCTCTTGCTTTGCTATGTTTTTTTTTTCCAACAGGAGATGAATGTCTCTTAACTAGATCTCTGCTCTATCAGACATGCCGGTCCACATTTACAAGACTTCAGCAAAATCAAAGCAATGGTGTTTTACGATGTTTGGCCACATCCTCCACCTTTGCATCTCAAATGCCTGGCTTGTTCACAAGAGGGACTGTGCCCTACTAAATGAGAAACCACTCTCTCTCAAAAGGTTTCATCGTGCAGTTGCCCACAGTTTGATGCAGGTCAACAAGCTTCCATCAAAGTTTGGCTGACCATCATCTTCTTCTCCACCTCAAATGTTGCCTCAGCAGAAACGTTACACCCCAAGATCTTCACATCCACAACCAGATGTGCGTTATGACAACTTGGGACACCTGCCACTTCACTCTGACAACCAAGGCTGGTGTAACCTCTGTTCAAAGGAAGTGTCAAGGTGGAAATATGTCCAACTTTGTGCTGCTCTGGGTCACTTTGCTAGCTCTTCCTGTGACTATGTCAGTAACTTGGGTGTATTGCTGGATAGCTCGCTCAAACTCAATAAGCAAGTGTCTGCTAGTGAGATCTAGCTTCCACCAACTGCGCCTTATCTCTAAGGCTAGGCATTATGTTCTGCATGAGGACCTGGAGAAGCTTATTCACGCTTTTGTGACCTCCAGGTTGGATTATTGTAATTCTCCGTACTACGGTCTTCCCTCTTCTCTTTTCCTTAGACTGCAAACAGTCCAAAATGGGGCAGCCCGCCTCTTGACTGGTACCAGGAAATTCTGCTCTATTACTCCTGTTCTAGCTGGCTTGCACTGACTGCCCATAAAGTGCCATATTCAATTTAAAATATTACTCCTTACGTTCAAAACTATTAATAAATTAGCGCCGAGTTATCTTAGTGAACTTCTCAGGCCACATACTCCTAATAGGACACTTAGATCTGCTACTCAACTACTTCTGACGCAACCTAGATCTCAGCTGAAGTCTCGGGGTGACCGTGCGTTTGCTCTGGCTGCCCCGGTACTGTGGAATAACCTCCTTCTCGCTATCCGCACCTCTGATTCTATTGTACTGTTTAAATTATGACTAAAAACCCACTTCAATCTTGCCTTTCCTTCTGGTTAACATTTCACTTATGATTTTACATTATGCACTTTTATGCTCATTTAATTCCTCGTTTGTTCTATATCTGCTGCTTCTCCTATGTATCAGTGACAGTTATCTGCTTGCATACCTAGTGCTTGCTTTGGTTCCATTTCTATTTCTATTATCTTCCTCTTGTTCTCTATGTTACTTGTTAAGCACCTTGGTATACCCTTGGTTTTAAGTGTGCTTTATAAATAAATAAAGTTTATTATTATTATTATTATTATTATTATTATTATTATTATTATTATTATTATTATTATTATTATTATTATTATCATTATTATTATTATTATTGTTGTATCCATCCATCCATCCATTCGCTTCCGCTTATC